AGAAAACTATCTCTTGGGGTGGCAAACGAAATTCCTCCCTATATCATATTATTCTAATGACATTGTCTAAACGGACCAGGTTTCTAAGATGACCACTTTTTCTCTCGGCAATGGGTCGTCGTCTTGAACAGGTTCGATTTTTAAAAAGTCTTGTCATTAATCTGCCAGCCCCAAAAGGTGGTACCGTCTGCCCTTTTCTTTAGTCATCCTGGTCCTCTTCTTTTTCGGATGCTTCATAAGACGGATGTGCAAGGGAAACAAACACAGTCGAGCCTACTATAAGGACCACCTTTCCCAATTACCGTAACCATCTGTGCAAACGACCACTTCTTACCAACCCTCTCTGTGCTTTAAAAAAAATATAATGACATTTTTCAAGAGACTACCTCTCAAAGATGACCACTTTTCCATAACAATTTACGGTCGTCTTGGACAGGTTCGCCTGTTTTAGTGCTGTACAGGTACAGTATGTAAGCCCAGATGTCGAGGAATCAGTATACGAGTACATGCTGCTTGTATATCCATACGTACAGTATGGGTGACACCATATAACAATGTAAAGATACCAAGGATGCATCCGTGGGATTTTAATATAAATCATTTTCCAGAGGGCAACAGCCATATTAAATGGTTAATTACATGACAACTTAATTTTTTTTAAAACATAGCGCAATAATATTCCTATACGATTCGACGCCTCATCATACTCCAGGACATTACCAACTGACTTAACAGTGTGCCCCGTGTAGGCTATTTGAAGGGTCCAAAAAGAAGGGGGGAAAAACAGGGGCATAGTCACAAACTGGGAATTCTGAGGATATCAATCTTAAGTAGAATCATTACTTCATTCTGTTTTGAATGTTCGTTTATCATTTTTGAAAATTGGTAGCCTTTAAAAGGGAAATAAAACATTAATCAACCAACAGTTGAACAGAAAATTGACACCCTCACGATTTCTAATTTCTAATGTGCGAGTTGGTCGGTTTTTCCTCTGTGCCATTCATTTGTATTGATTATAGAAGAGAATACACTAAGACTTGAAGAAAATAAAATAAATGGAGTCATTTAAAAAGCCCATAATTTGATTATCAACCAGAAGCATACTTAGGAGTACCCTACCATGTATTGAAAGTTTTGAAATAAAGGGGATGTGACTAAATTTTAATTAATCTTTAGATATCCGAGAATCATGGCATTTTAATAGAAGAGTATTTTTCCTGTCTATGAATTTCATAAGCGAAACAATGCGATGTAGAAATTAAATTTTGTCTCACCTGTATTGATGAACTGTTGGTCAGAATTGTGAAAAAGTAGCAATCCTAGGAAAGTTGAAGTGAACAAGTGCAGGATCATTTTCACCGAGCAAGAGACTATCACACGAAATTAAACCACAAAAAAAACAATAACCAACAACAAAACCTGAATTGATGGCTGGTTTTTTTTTTTCTAGTTTAAAAAGTTACGTCCGAGTCTCAAAGTAACTTTAAGGCTTGAAAAAAGCGTCCCCAGACCCAGGGTGTCAAAGCCACGAAATGATTTTCCTGCAAGACTTTTCTTCTATTTATCTCATATTATGTCGGGTGCAGGCCTCTTTCCGATCCAAAGTACACACACATGGCATACCCTACTAAGGAGAACGGTCTGGGAGGGCTCTATTCGAGGGTGTGGGTGTCTATTCGTGTGTTGGTGAGTGTGTGTGTGTGTGTGTGTGTGTGTGTGTGTGTGTGTGTGTGTGTGTGTGTGTATGGGGAGAGGGGGGTAGTCTAAAGAAAAGTGAACCTTTTATAAGAAGGGAAAAACCCACCTTGCCGTCATTTTCTTTTTCATTACGTCCGTTTTTTGGGTGGTGGTTTTTTGTATTATTGTGGAAGAGAAAGACCTTTTGCTTCAACTCGAGCTCGTTTGGGATCTTTAGTTGACGTAATGTTTGATTGTCGTGGATTTCATTCTGTGCAAAATAGAAGAATACACGAAAACTTTTAACCAGAAGCTTCTACTTTGCATTTGAAAAGGGGGGGAAAATGCCCAAGTGGACCAACGTAAGATCGACTTTTCAGATTAAGTTACTTCAAAAAGCGACAAATCGAGCATTTTCTTTAACCACAGTTTCTCTGGGTTTTTTTGTTTGTTTTTTTAAATTATCGTCCTACTCCTCCGTTTCCCCCTATAATTTAGACGCACACGGCGCGTGTGCATTCAATGAGGCATAAAAATAAAAGTTAAAAAACACAGAGGCGAGAAAAAAAATTGACTGAAAGGGGATGGTAATGGTATTCTTTTGATGTCTTCAGCTGGTGATGACTTTTCTAAAAAATCTTTCTGTTTTCCCGCCCAACTCGGGAATAAAAAACAACAATCAAGTTCAGCTCAGAACAGCGACTCCCCATCTCTTCTCCTTAGGTTTATTGACTGAACAAACAACCAATTCGCTGGAGTGACGGTCAGGCTCGGGTAAGACACCTGGATCTAAGACACCACAATGAGCCTCATGTGGTTAAGAAAAGCTCTGGCCTAGTGCGTGTGTGAATATTTTCCATTTAAGGGGGCACTTGCATTCTGAGGATATGTCAATATCTTTTGTCTTTTGAGATGAAAAGGAGAAAAGGTAAATCTTATTACGAAAGTTGTGGAACCAATAAGGGGTTTTAAGGGTTAGTGGTGACAGATGTTATTTTTAACCTTTTTTTTTAGCCTTCGTGTTTGTGTGTGTGTGTGGGGG